TGTTCTGTAACCCCATGAGATGTTAACTTAATCCCTTGCATACTGCTTTTAACTTACGGTCAGGAGTTAGATAAAAATCATCCTGCAGTGTCAGTCAGAAATCCTGAATGTGATGAAACAAATGTAAAACGAATAGAAAAGTAGTGAAAGATTGGGTTAAAATATATAATTCTCTCCGGGAGCAGCAGGACAATGCCATGAAAAAAAGACCAACTGCTCTTTGCTTTTTATAACAGTAGCATTGATCACAAGTAAAAATAAGTCATTGTAGGTTTCTTGATCCTCCCCATAGGGCTCCAGATTGTGCGCAATTCATTCCTTATTGTTCCAGTGTTACAGTCACTGTGATGATGCACGGTTCCTTGTTGATCCTAAACAGGACAGTTCAATTTTTTTAATTTTATTCGGTGATACCAGCAGATTATTTGCAAATTGGGAGTATTGCAGTGGAACTTGTTCCAGTGCTGTTTCTGTTGTTGTCTCATTCTCAATTGTATAGCACAGATGGAATCCATTAGACCTATCATGCCCGTGTCAGCCCTTTGAAAGTTAGCTGAAGGCTAATGTAATTCTGGCCGTTATATTGCCAGGGCTAGACTTCAGGCTAAAATGCGTCTTTTAGTAATACCAAGTCCTGATTAGACCACATCAGGAGTACTGTGAGCAGCTCAGCGTGCCACAACTTAGGAAGGATGCATTGACTTTGGAGGGACTGTTTACCAGAATGATACCTGGACTCAAACCATTAAACTACAAAGAATGTTACCTGAATTAGGATTGTATTTCTTGGAGCTTTGAAGGTTAGGGATTCATTTGTTTGAAGTTTAAGATTTTACGAGGGATATATACAGAAGGTGAAGAGTAACCATTTCTGCTGAAAAGTCCAGCACAAAGTGGGCAGAATCTAAAGATTAGAGCTGGACAATTCAGGAGTGGAATTAAGAAATGCTTCTAAACGCACAAGATGATGGAAGAAAGAGTACCAAATTTCTGCAAGTGATAACCACTGCAAGGTCAGTTATTATATTTAAATCTGAGATTGATAGATTTTTGTTATTCAGGGTTAAGGTGGAAAGCTGGGTGTGTGGAGTTAGGTCACAGACCAGCCATGATCTCACTGAGTAACAAAACAGGCATGAGATGCTAATTGACCTCATCCTGTTCCTATCTTGGTATAGTCGTTCAAATCTTTCACTTTCCAGTTTTATTCAGTTCCCTCTTGACTGTTACTATTAAACATGCTTTCACCACTCTTTTAGGCAGTGCATTCCAGGCCACAACTCACTGCAATTCCCGATTATTTTACCAATTAACTTAAGTCTGTATCCTCTGGTTACTGACCCATCTGCCAGTATAATCAGTATCCACTTATTTGCTTTATTGTTGAACATGTCTATTACATCTCCAAATAACCATCTCTGTCTAATAAGTGTTATCCTGGCCTCTCCAGCTTTCACAGAACAGTCCCTCATCCCTGTAAATTATTTTAAATATATTGCTACCGTATTTTGTCTCCCTTACCACTTGTTTAATAGCAGCTAGGAATGGGGCACCTCCCTGCCCTCTTTCTGCTTTCCCATATGCATTTGGAGGCATCAAGGCCATTTCTAACAACTCAGCTGTGTGAAATAAATCAGTTCAGCACCTGTTTACAATCTCAATCAGATTTCTGGGGGGTGTCACCGGTAAGGTGCAATGTATTGGAAACAGGATTAAAATCTCAGTATTGAACAGGAGGATCATTCTTTTTCAGAATAATTCTTTTTTGGAACAAATCCAATATTGGATTGGATCATATCTTTTCTCAGTCCCTGTGTCTGCTGTATCATTCTCACCTTAGAGCCAGAAGGTTCTGGATTAAGTCTGTCTTCCAGGGATTTGAATAATCCATGTTTATACTGCCCAGTGTAGTACAGGGAGAGTGCTGCTTTGTCAATCTTGCAATTGCAGGTATTAAACCCCTCTGATAGCTAGGACAGATTCAATGGTACTATTTTCAGAAGAAGGGGGAACTCTTCAGTCCTCTTTGACCAATCCTTACCTCTCATCCGGCATCACAAAAATAAATTATCTGGTCATCGTCATCTTGCTATCTGTAGGATCCTGTGAGTAAAATGGCTCATATGTTTCTGACTTGGCAACAGTGACTCTAGTTCAAGTGCTCTTAATTGGTTGTAAGGTGCTTTAAGAAATCCTGAGGCTATGAAAGGTGCTAATAAATCTTTTTCTTTCCCTTCCACTCAAGCTGGCACCTACTTGCAAGGCATAAGTAATTTCCAGGGAGTGGAACACATTTGACTGTTTTAATAAAAGCAGTTTTTAGAGTAGATTTGTAGTTTGGGTTTTGGATGTTGTGGTTGGTTGGCTCACCGAGCTGGTTCGTTGTTTTTTCGCAGATGTTTCATTAACCTGCTGGATAACATCATCAGTGCAGCCTCTGATGAAGCGCAGCTATGTTTTCCCGCCTGTTATTTAAACTCTGAAGTCCGTTGGGCTGGATTACCTCACTTCCGGTTTTCCTTCACAGTGGAGTGCATATGGAGACGAGCTCTATGTGTTTGTTGATGGCTTTCTTCGTGGAGTACACTGCTTCTAGGAATTCCCGTGCTTGTCTCTGCTTTGCCTGTCTTAGGATCTTGGTGTTCTCCTTATCCATGTGGATAGAGATGAGTGAGTATTGGTCATGTCGTTTTGTAGCCAATTGATGTTCGTGTACCCTTGTTGTTAATTTCCTTCCTGTTTGTCCGATGTAGTGTTTGTCACAGTCTCTGCAGGGAATCTTGTATATGACATTGGTCCTGTCCGTAGTGGGTCTTTGGTTCGGGTGAGCAGTTGTCGTAGGGTTGATGTGGGTTTGTGTGCTACTCTGATGCCCAGTGGTTGTGGGAGTCATGTGGTCAGTTCTGAACTGACCACTGGGCATCAGAGTAGCACATCAACCCTACAACAACTGCTCACCCGAACCAAAGACCCACTACGGACAGACTGATGTCATATACAAGATTCCCTGCAGAGACTGACAAACACTACATCGGACAAACAGGAAGGAAATTAACAACAAGTGTACACTAACATCAATTGGCTACAAAAAGACACGACCAATACTCATTCATCTCTATCCACATGGATAAGGAGAACCACCAATTCGACTGGGACAGGCAAAGCAGAATCAAGCACAGGAATTCCTAGAAGCCTGGTACTCCACGAAGAAAGCCATCAACACATAGAGTTCGACCCCATATACACTCCACTGCGAAGGAAAACTGGAAGTGAGGTAATCCAGCACAACGGACTCCAGAGTTTAAAAACCAGGCGGGAAAACACAACGGTGCTTTATCAGGCTGCAGTGATGATGATACCCAGCAGGGTAAGAAATGTCTGTGGAAAAACAACGAACCAGCTCAGCGAGCCAACCAACCACAATAAAAACAAAGCGCTGGCTATGCTGGAAATTAAAAAAAAAAGTGTTGGAGAAACTCTGCAGGTCTGGCAGCACCTGTGGAGAGGGAAACAAAGTTAATGTTTTCAGTCTGATACGACTCTTCTCTGGAACTGTTTTGATCAGCGAGTGCTTTTTTTTTGTCCTGTTTCTAACGTTATCTTGGCACTGTCGTCCATCCAGACAAAAAACATGGACTTCCGCAAGAAGTGGGACAAAGATGAATATGAGAAATTGGCACAGAAACGGTTGCAAGAAGAAAGAGAGAAGCGAGATGGTGAGTTGATGTTCGGAGTAGCCAATCTGATCCATTGCAGGAGGTATTTTGAAGTAACCTGTAGCTAGCTCCACATCCTAATGCTTTCTGTTTTTGGTTTCAGCAAAGCCTCCAGTACCAATCAAGCGTGAACTTTTACGTCACAGAGATTATAAAGTGGATTTGGAATCCAAATTAGGAAAAACCATAGTCATCACAAAGACGACACCCCAGTCTGAAATGGGAGGGTGAGTGCTTTGTTTCTTTTCTCTTTTCTCTTTCCTCCTCTGAAGACACTGTCTGTGGCAATACAGACTGCCTACAGGAAAAGGCTGATGGGATGGAGCAGAAAGGGTTGGTGCTGGGGATATTGTTTTGACACAAGCAACCTGCCTTGCTCATTTCGCTACCTCAAATCTGCAATCAAAATGTCACTAGCCTGTGATTGAGAGCCCAAGTTAATGCTCAGGGACATGGATTCACATCCCACCATGACAGCCAGTGGAAGTTAGATTCAGTTACATCTGGAGTGGAAAGCTGGTTTCAGTAATACACATAATGAAACCGTAATTGATTGTCATAAAACCTCATCTGGTTCATTATATCCTTTAGGGAAGGCAATCTACCACCCTTTTTGAATCTGGCCTCCGTGTGAATTCCAGACCCACAGCATTCTTGGAAGAATGGGCTCACATTAGACAGTCCGTTCAAGGACAACTGAGGATGGGCAACAAATGCTGGCGCTGCCAGTTACGCTCATGCGCCATGAGAGAATTTTTAAAAAATACTTGTGTTTAAGGCTGGTGCTTTACTGGCCTGTTGTGTTCCCTGTTGGTCTTTTTGAGAATATAGTTTGCAGAATCGGAGGCAGGATAAGAGAGTTTTTGTATTGCGTGTGAGCTAAGATCTAACTTTGGCTTGGTGACTGTCACTGTCTCTTCCGACTTTGAAAGATGTGAGTTTAAGTGCCCAAAGCAGAGTGGTTCTAATTTTGCACACAGTCAACTTTTACTGAAACAGTAAATATTATTCTTGTTAAATGGGTCAACATTTTCTCGCTTGTAAGTTGTATTAAAGAATAGACTGAACATAAATCTTGCACGCCCATGCTGTGAAAGTATAATCTTAAAGCCAGAGAGCAGTTTAGAAACATATCTTCAGTCTCACAACCCTCAGATATTTGTGCTTCCTAATTCTGGCCTTTGGGAGCATCCCCAATTTGAATCATTCCACTCGCTGAGCCCCAAACTCTTGATACCCCAAACTCTTGATACCCCTGTTTCTCTCTTTCCTCACATTCCTCCCTTAAAGAACTCCTTAAAATCTACCTGTTTTTTTAGTGATCTGCCAATGTGTCCTTGTGCTCCTCAGTTTTGTGGTAAGTTCTGTAATCTCCCGGTGAAACAACCTTGGGATGTTCTGTTCTGCTAAAGGTGCTATATGAATATTTTTGTTCACACAAAGGTAGACAGAACATGATCCCACAAAAAGCACAGAAGGCAGTGCAAATAAACCATTTTAAATGAGATCAGTAGATTTTTACTGACCAAGTGTTTAAAGGGATATGATGGCAATGTGAGGGGGTGGAGTTAGAATTACAGGTCTGCCATGATCTCAGTGATGGAACAAGTTAAAGGGACTGAATGACTTCTTTCTGTTACTGTGGACCATGAAATGATGTAGCTGTAAACTGCTAGGCTAAAGTAGAAAGTGGATTTTTCACTCAGAAGGGAGTCACAGGTTACCTGGGATAAGTGGAATATAGGGTTGATGCCACAATTGGATCACCCAAGAACTTTATTCAATGGTGTAGGTTCAAGAGACTAAATGGCCTACTCTCCTCATTTGTTTGTATGTATGATTGTATGTAAAGTGATCCTTTTTCACTGCCTCCTGTTTTTTAAACTTTGAGTATGGTTTCTCTTGACAGATATTACTGCAATGTTTGTGACTGTGTAGTGAAGGATTCCATCAACTTCTTGGATCACATCAATGGCAAAAAACGTAAGTGAACAGTTGAGGAATGGTGGTGGATGCCAGCAGTATCGCTGTAGGTAATTCTATTTGTTCAGGGTCCGTTTAGTATCAAGTGGTTGATGCACGATTGTACTGAATGTTGCTTATTATGCAAACTGTACCTAGGTACAGTGAAAAGTTTTGTTTTGTACGCAGTCCAGGCAGATTATGCCTTTCAAAGTGCATTAGGGTAATAGAATAGAGCGTGGAATACAATGTTACAGCTGCAAAGAAGGCACACAAAGAACGAGATCAGCATTTAAATTTAAAATTTGAGAAGGTCCATTCAGAAGCCTGATAGCAGCAAGGAAGAAGCTGTTCTTGAATTTGGTAATTTTCAAATTGAATGAATATTTGAAAAGAGCAATTTTTCAAGATAATGGGGTAAAGATGAATTGGATAGTTCTTTCACACAGCTAGCACAAGCAGAATGTCCTCTCTCTGTTATGTGATTCTATCAATTTGTTACCACCTCTGCTGCTAGCAATGATGTGCCTGGACTCGACAGTACTTCATCCTGTGGTTATAAAACTCAAGTAACATGTGGAAGGACAGTGTGGTTCAGTAACTTTCTGGTGACAACACCACGTCATGACGTTTCAACATCTATCAAAATTTGAGCTGCATCTGTTCAGTGACAGTGCGGATTGTAGATCACAGTGATTGGAAAAATGCTGATAGAAGAAATGGGTGCGTCACAACAATGGAAAATGATCATGGTGATAAGTGTCAGAAGGCGGTGGAGATGTCACCTTGATAGGGGAGGCAGTCTCACACATCGCAATAATGGGAGAAACTGGAACGTGTGGCCCTGAAGGGACAAACGGGATGGGGACTGTAATAATGGGAGAGGCAGGGGAGTACCGATCATGAGATTGGGAGGCAAAGGTAGCGGCTACAATGATTTGAGAAAAGTGAAAGTTGCAGATTGCTGTGGTTTCGAAAGGGTGTTCATTTGGAGGATGCAGTAGTAGAGACAAAGAGTGAGAAGAAGAAATATTGAGTTTGATATAACAGAAGAGTGATATGCCATTGAGGGGGTTGAGGCCTCTAAAGATTTAAAGGCAGGAGTGATGGTTACATACTTGGATACTAAAGGAAGTAGCTACAGAGGTAGTGTTCAAGAATCCTTTGATTCTGGTAAAGTCCCAGAGGATTGGAAAACTGCCCATGTAACGCTTATTCAATAAAAAGGAGGGAGACAAAGAACATGTAACTATAGGCTAGTTATCCGTCATTGGGAAAACGTTCAGGTCTAGTAGAATATTTAGAAATACATAATATATTCAGATATAGTTTCATGAAGAGGAAATCATGCTGACAAATGTATTGTAATTCTTTGAGGAGGTAACAAGCTGGATAGATAAAGGGGAACCAGTAGGTATGTTAGGATTTCCAAAAACCATTTGATAAGGTGCTCACCTAAAGCTACTTAATGAAGTAAGAATCCATGTTGTTGGGGATAGTATATTGGCAGAGATAGAGGATGGGCTCATTAACAGAAAACAGTTGAATTAGAGGTGATATTTCAAGATAGCAATCTATAACTTTTGGAGTACCACAGGGATCAGTGCTGGGGCCCGATTATTAACAATCTGTATTAATGACTTGTATGAGTGAAGTGAACGTACTTAAAGCCAGATTTGTGAATAACACAAAAATAGCTGCGACAGGAAATGATGGGGATGACACAAAACATCTGCAGAGGGATGTAGACAGTTTCATCGAGTAAGCAGAAACTTGGTAGATGGAATATTAAGTGGGAAAATGCACTTTAGTTATGCACTTTGGCAAGAAGAATAGAGGAGCTGAATATTATTTATATGGAGGAAGAAGGCCAAAAAGCTGCAGCCCAGAAGGAAATTAGGGCCCTCGTGCATGAGTCACAAAAGCTAACACCCAAGTTCAGCAAGTAATTAGGAGGATAAATGGAAAGTTGGCCTTTGTTTGAAAGGGAATGGAATACAAAAATAGGAAGGTCTTGCTGAAACTATATAAGGCATTAGTCAGACAACAACTGGAATACTATGAATGGTTTTGTTCCCGTTATCTAAGATAGAGGTGCTGGTATTGGAGGCAGTCCAGAGACTTGGGGAGATTTTTTAATGAAGAGAGTTGAGTAGGTTGGGCCTATATTCATTTGAATTTAGAACAGTGAGAGTTGGCCTTATTGGTACATGTAAGATTCCTGGGGGACTTGACAGGATTGATGTAGAAACCCAAACCATCCACAACCTCATCACCTCAGGTGACCTCCCACCCACGGCCTCCAACCTCATCGTTCCCCAACCCCACACTGCCCGCTTCTATCTCCTTCCCAAAATCCACAAACCTGAATGCCCTGGTCGACCCATTGTCTCCGCCTGCTCCTGCCCGACCGAACTGATCTCCAACTATCTGGACTCCATTTTCTCCCCCTTGGTCCAGGAACTCCCTATCTATGCCCGTGACACCACCCACGCCCTCCACCTCCTCCAGAACTTCCAATTCACCGGTCCCCAACACCTCATCTTTACCATGGACGTCCAGTCCCTCTACACCTGCACTCCCCATGCGGATGGCCTAAAGGCCCTCCGCTTCTTCCTGTCCCGCAGGCCCGACCAGTCCCCCTCCACTGACACCCTCATCCGCTTAGCCGAACTCATCCTCACCCTCAACAACTTCTCCTTCAAATCCTCCCACTCCATACAGACAGAGGGGGTGGCCATGGGTACCCGCATGGGCCCAAGCTACACCTGCCTCTTTGTAGGTTACGTGGAACAATCCCACTTCTGTACCTACACCGGCCCTAAACCCCACCTCTTCCTCCGTTACATTGATGACTGTATCGGCGCCGCCTCGTGCTCCCACGAGGAGCTC